CGGGGCGGGGGTTTAAAGGGCACGGTTGGAGTTGAACGCAGCATTCAGCGCCACGCCAGCCAGAAAAGACGGGTTTGACTTTCTCGCTGTCTTGAAAATATTGCCAGATGGATTAACTTAAAATCTAAAAAAAGTTAGAAGTAAGTTAGACTTCAGCCAGCTCTGGCTGACCAGTGGCTGAGTTAGTGGCAATTTTATTGTGAAATGCAAAGCCACAGGGATAAGAAAGATAGCATGAGTTAAAATATTCTCATTTATATACAAGAAGCCCGTAGTTCTACCTCATGTTTTGAGAGATACTGTTAAATCGTATGACCTTAGCTCTTCTGGTTTATGCTTTCACTAGAAACCCATAGTAGAATTACAGCCTTAATACAGTCTGCAGATTTCTGTCTCTAATTACAGCACATAAGTAGTACAGAAAAATCTGATTCAGAATAAAATTTGGAACTGATGAGTGGAATGTGGCTACTCTGATGAGTTATACTGCCAGTGATCACAGTTCTTTCCGAACATCTACTGTGAAGTTAACTGTGCATGACAGATTGAGAATATTTAAGCAATTGAGACATGTAGTGCAAAATTACTGACAGCTACTACTTTTCTACTTTGCAAATCTTAATAATACACAAACATTTTTAGTTTCTAAGTTAGGTAGTTTCATTAAAACATTCCTACTAATATTCACAGCAAGGACCACTTATAAGCACTATAAATATTAACATTTTAATGACATATAAACATTAGAAAACATGCAGCCCCAGTAACAACATCACCCTGGGTCTTCTTATTAGCTGCTCATACTTAATTTCATTTTATTATGAAGCATTTATCAGTAACATTGAATTAATGTATTGACTGATAATTTTACTATTTAACATCTAATTGGCCATGAGGAAAGAAATATCTGGAGACATGCAAAAATAATGATTCATTAACTATCTGTCACTGCCATTTCCAATGGGATGAAAAGCATGGTAAGAATATAAATTGTTGCAGAGAATGTTAATGTGTGTCACTAGTGGACAAAGACACTTTTGCATGTGTAACATCCATCATGTGTATGCAAGTCAGTGACTGGGAGCAGACTGGGAAAACTTGGCTCCTTGGCTCCCTCCTCCTACATGGAAGCAAGCTTTGCCACTGGCTGGTCTGACGTTCAGTTTGACTTTAAGCACAGTTCTAGCTAAAATGCCTTTCCCTCTATTTTGGCAAATTGATGCAACCACATTCCAGATCAAGGTTAAAAGGGGAGCCAAAATTAGACTAAAATCAGATTCAATCAAGTCTACATTAGAGTCTATATCCTTTTGGGTTTGAGAAAGGCTATCAGCACTGTTTGGGGATAAATGTTTCTTGGTGCTGATAACACTGATTTTAATGCACTTAAACTTTTTTAATTGGGAAGTTCTTTTAAGTTCAGTAGAAGAGAAAAATCTTCCCTGTAGCATCACAGACAGGCCTAGAAAAAGAAATGGAGGAGAGATCTTTTTTCATAGAAGCGTGATAGGAAGATCTGATTGAGAAGATGGTCTGCCTAGTGGTGACAACAGAAAGTAGGAGACAGAACAAATGGGTTTTGTTGCGCTTTCTGCTAAAGGCCTTGAGGAAGTCCCCAACATGGCAAACTGTCTGTGTGCAAAGTTGTAAGGCAATGCTTATTTGGATTTTCCAGATCCAAGGTATGCCCTATGGGAACTGTTTACTTGTCAGTGATGGGCCCATCAATAACAGCACCGGAATCCCTTTCTTTTATGTGTCGCCAAAGGATAACACTGTGGCAGATCTACTGAAGAGGCCTGTAGCTTCTCTGACCCTGCCAGAGGCAGATGGCAATTTCTGCAGGTAACAGAATTTTGTCTGTGTAGTACCACGTTCAGTGAGAACAAATACAATCCTCAAGATAAATCTGTGATAGCTTTATGCTAGGTCATCATCGGATGGGACCTTCATCGTCCCACTGGTACTTTTGGCTCCCACCATGAGCTACAACCTCCTCTTTAGGTTTATTTTACAGTAAATTGCCCCAGTAAATTATCTCAAAGAAAAGCAGGGGTGTCATTTAACTATATTGTGGCATCGAAATTTGGGGTGGCTTTCAGCTTGCCTGTTAACAAACCTAAATTTGAGTCTCTTCCTGGAGATGTCTTCATAAGATCTAGGTGTTTGAGATTCCATTATAATCCACAGAGATCTAGTCAATAAGGTCAATAGAATCTTGAGAGCTGTTCAAGTCACCATAAGGTAGACACCCTTGCTCTACTGAACAGCTCTTGAGGCCTTGTTGTCTGCATCGACTAGTTCTCTATGAACTATAATGGGATCCCAAACTCTTAGTTCACAAGTTATACGTAGGACCATGCCACACAGTTGAATTTCCATCTCTTTCAGAGCATACAATTAAGTATGATATCATCACAAATTTTTAGTGCGTTGTACATCATAAACTATTGTCAAATGATCCCTCACATAAAGGAAGCCAGGTCTGAGATTTACTGTTTTAAAATGCAGCTGGCCCCAGATTTGTCTCTCCAGAGGTAGTAGTGAGTTGAGTTCTTTCCTTCTAGTAGTGTGCATAATTCTAGATCACCAGTGCTTTACATATATAAAATGTATGTATGTAAACTCAAAAATGATACAGTTCTCCCTCACCTACTTGTCTCCTTGAAAAAGACATATCTCTGCCGTATGTTTGTTTACAGTCCAACCATGTGACAAGCTTGGCTGGGTCAGCCTTGTGTGAAGTGTTATTTCCAGGGGCCTCTTTACATGATGAGGTATGTGGTGACACTGAAATTGTGTCAGACAAGACCCCATTAGCAAAGCAGATCTTCAGAATGAAATGGAAAAATTTGAAATTTCAGGCTGCCTTGGAAAGAAATGAGTTTAAAAGAAAAGTTTTTATCCCAAGTTAAGATGCTCTTTTGGGGAGGAGAAGTTTATCTTAAGAACTGGATCTCAGATTTACCCAACCGGGGATCATCCTGGGCATCATCCGGCCTTTCAAGCCTGCTAGCTGAAAAGAACAGTGGGGAAAAAACAATAAATGGCAAATATAAAGCGCATTATTGTTTCACTTGTCTATATTCGTCTCCAGAATATGCAGCCTGTTTTCTTAAGAGTTATATCATAGTAAAATGAACTGTTTCTTTATCCTAAGCAGTGATTTCAAGCTGACATCCCATTCTCAAGGAATGGAAGGCCACCAGGGTATCATGGCTACCTCTTGCAATGTCAGATACCCAATACTTATTTTCCATCACAATGTTTATTAAGGTGCTTCAGTTTTGAATGCTTGAGAAAGTCAACACCACTGTAACATTAAGACCAGAATAGTTCTGTTCCTTGAAATTGTTTCATTACTTGATTTTGAATTGATCATTTCAAACAGTAAATAAATTTATCAGCTCTTTCTTAAAAGACTAACAAAACTGATTGCTGCTTTTTCATTCAATCAAATAACAAGCTGAATATCTGGACTAAGTGCTTAAAAATGTATGTTACGTCCTACGTCCTAGCACCTACGTAGATGCTCTATTTTCAGAGACTCCAGGCGCAGAGCAGCTTCCATTGATAACTGCTAGTGATGAGCACCTCTGGAAATTACACACTCTTTTAGGCACCTAAGTGTGGCCTTTCATCCCTGACTTTAAACATCCACTTTTGACAGTCTTTGCCTTTTATGATTTAGCAACACCACTGCCTGATTCACCTGTTTGGGACGTGCTAATTCACCAGTAAAAGAAAATCTGTTCATGATTTATAGAAATATGAAAGTCACGTACATCACAACCCTTCAATAATATTTATCCACTGGCTTCCTATTAAGTAACCATTAATTTCAAAAATTAGCCACTACCCTTTTGTTTAATGTCCCAGAAATTACTGTTTGTCCTGGAGCCAGGGCAACCTAAATTCTGTCACATGATTCTCTAATTCCCTCAGCAGCCTGAGACTAATATGGCAATAAACGCTCTCTGGACACTGCCAGTTAAGCTGAGCATGTATTTCCAAGACAGTCTAGGCCAAACTAGTTACCAGTTGCCCCATCCTCATTCTCCCTCCCTATGACTGGTTGGTTGCGCGGTCCTTCCTTACATCAGCTTCAAGGATTTGCGTGACCCTGAATTGAAGCATAGATCAGAAGCAAAGTAACACAGCCACGTGAAATTTCCTGCTGGTCCTCGTTCATTTCTTTCTCTACCTGCTCCTCCTGCTCCTGGACCTGGACCTACATAGCTCAGTAACCCAGCAGAAGCCTCTTCCCTTTTTTTGCTGGATTAGGTTTCTCCTGGGTTAGTACATTGAATCATCTCACCAAGAGCCAGAGGAGCACAAAGGAGAGGGGAAGGGAGAAGAGAAGGGTGGAGGAGAGCGGGACGTCCCCATTTCAGCATGTAGCTGTCTGTTAGCCTAAAAACTGAGGTTACTACTGAACTGAATACAAAGATTAACAGTCTAATCAGTGCTCCTTGCATTATTTATTTTGTTGTTACATTCAGTTTGTTTTTCTTTACTTCTAGAGTTCCCATCTGCAACAGATGGTGGCATTAGGGCAAAGAACAAGTGATACAGAGAATGGAAAATTGGGCAGTTGCTGAGCTGCAGTCTTGAGTTTTTGATTGGTAGGAAAATGTGAAAAGGTTTTGGTGACTGATGTCTTGGCAGTCAGGAACAGGCAAGGTATGAGGGCTGGGAGAGTTTAACTGTCTCCCTGTAAGCAGTGTCAGAAATGAACTTACCTTTTAAACTAGAAGAGAAACCTTGCAAATCTGTACAGGATCCTTCTGTTACCCCACAGAGAGGGCTTCTAAGGCCAGTGCAACAGTTTCATGAAAATAACCACCATTTCAGGATCCTACTGTCAGTGCTGTGGGGTTATTTGTCTCCCAGCACTGTCTGCAGCATTGATTGTGCAGTTGGTAACAGAGTCAGTTAAAAAGGTCTGCCACAGGCAACCCGAACCTTTCTTTTGGATGCACTCTGTCTGATGAGGTATTAAGATTGTGCCATGCAAGCAGCATGTACCATCCTTAGTGCAAAGTTTATGTGGTGGTTTAATTTTCATATAGCAATTTTCTTTCTCTTTACTCGCACTGTATGAGGCAAAATCTTTTAGTCTGAAAGACCTCAGATTCTTCTTGGTATTAAGGTAGCATCTGTGGGGTTTCCTTTTCAAAGGAAAATGTCATTCATAGGTAGCTTTACTACCAGAAGTTCTCTGGTCAAAGGCATCATTAATTTTTTTGACTGCAGAATCAGCTGAAATGAATAATGCTCTAGGTGAGAAAGTTCATGCCCTTGTATGCTAGCAATGCATTTGGCTTGTTTTCATGTAGAATTTCATTATGTACCTACTCTGAGGTTTAAGAATTAAAATAAATGTGAAAGCTGTTTGATGCAGGTAGTCAATGCTCGTGGGAGTATTTGGCACTCTGCTGGAAATGCTTCTGACCTATTCTATGCAAAAGAAATCTCTGGCCTTTAGAAAGAAAACATAGCTGACATTTCAATAGTCTTGTATCTAATGAGTATCAAGTGACTTGTTTGCTTGCACATCAGTTTGTTATTAAATTTAGTTAGTAGTGAATTTCCTTTGTTTTGTTTCAGAACATACTCCAGTCTCAAACCTTGACAATAAATATTTTCACTTTTGGAGAAGTGAGGAATAGAGTGGTCTTTTTGGTTTTCCAGTGTTAATATTTAATCCTCTGGAAAGAAAATTTGAAAAGCCTAAACTAATAGCAGCAATAACATTTAATAATTAAAGAAAGAGGGCTATGATACATCTGAACAGGCACTAATTGCAAGACTTTTTAGTGTTGCAGCTATAGTCTTGATTCCTCATCTCTGACCTAGAGATTTCCATTTCCCAAAGGGAAACAAGCTGCACTTCTTTTAGAACATTCTCTGATGGTCAGTCTAAAGAAAGCATTAGTTAGTAACTACTAATACTGTATTTTATCATAAGGCTAATAAATGGATAATAGAAAAACTAAATGGTTCAAGGCTATAAATAGACAAAGCTGGCAAGTCTATTCCACAGAAAAACTGAAAAGATTGAGTTCTATTCTTACAGATTTCAGAGGGAACAAGACTGAGCCCTACATTAAAGAATAGAGCAGCTATTGTTCTAAATGAATGTCCCAACACACAAGCCGCTCAGATGATCTCTCTTTCCAAGTAAGCTCCTGGGCCTGCCTCATTACAGCTGCAGTCTGGAAAACAGGCAATTAATTTTAAACATGTGTTGTCTCCTTGACATCAGGTTCAGCACCTTCATAGGGACCAAATGCAGCTTTCTTAGAGAAGCAGCAGTTACACAGCTGCCGCAAACTGATTTTCACACAAGAGAAAAAGAAAGAAAAGCAACACGCTCAGGGGTCAATCCATAGGTGTGTTTTCCTTTGCTATTAATCTGCAGGATGGTGTTTCCAATCCACACTGCAGACTGTGGTATTTTGAGTGATCCCCTACTGTCTGTGATCTGCATCAGTGGTGGGAAAGCTGCTTCCTTCAGAGCCATTTACCTACATATACAGATAAAACTGCCATGGGTCACAGACACAACCTCTGAGAGGCCAGTTAGCCGTCCAAAGTGTATCTATCTACTCCTGTGTTTATATAGCCACTGTCTGTTAATACGAGGATGAATATGACAAATAAATTTGGCATTACACCTTCAAGCAAAGAACAATTATACACGCAGAAGAGAAATGCATCTGCTAGAGAAGAGCCTGTGCTGAAATTCTGAATCTAAACATCCCGCAATTTTTGAGAAGTTGAGACCAATCTCCTAGTTCTGTGGCAAAGACACATCTCTAGCTCAAGAATTTATGTTGGCC